TAACAAGACTTTACATCTATGTGTATATAAAAACACAATAGCATCTAAAACAGGAACATACTTTGTTCAGCAACCTGTCTATAATGGTCCCTGCTTACTTCCCCCATCCACTTGGGGCACTGGGATCTTGACAACAAGTGTTGATTAAATACACTTGGATTGTTTATTTTTCCATAACAATACCTACAATGTTTCCTTTAAATACTTATTAATGTTGGACAAGCAAATTGGCATTTTGTGCTATGATGTGCAGACACAATATTGCAGGATGGTTAGTATTCCTAGGCCATGCCCACTAAATGCCAGTAGGATCCGTTGGTTATGAAGACAGCCAGCTGCCCTCACACATTGCCAAACACTATTTGGTTGTAGACACCATCTGAACTTGAGAACCACTCAGGATTTCCTGAAGAACATGAAAGGAGTGATTGAAAAAGAATAAAACCAAAGAGCAAACAGTTCGCACATATGTATATATGTATGTGACACACAAACACCCCAATTCTGTGGTGTCTTAATGATTTAGGTTCTCTTCCTCTAAATATGCTGTTTTCATGTTTTATGTTAACCACAGAGTCCCTTCTTTTTCCTATCAGTGTCCCTGCCATAGAGGTTTCCCTGGTCATTTCTCATAAAAGCACTGAAACACAGACTGAATTGAGATTTCTGTTTCTCTATATGCCACTCAGTTTAGTCTTTAAATTGTAGATAGGTGGTATAATTTTGTATAAGGAATATTAGCTTTTCTCCTCACTGGCTTAGTGGATTTGGGCATTATTAATCTCTCTGAGACTGTTTTCTTTTACAAAACGTATTGTGTGAAGGATTAAATGAAATGTTTCTAAAGTAACCAAAAGAGTAACCAGAGATAATACCTCTGAATTATTCCTTTAATTGTATTTCTATATCCCTGGTTAGTGGTTAAGAGTTAGGGTCTCTGGGGTCAGGCTGCTTGGTTAGAATTCTAGTTCTACTGCTTACTAGCTGCATGGCAATAGACAAGCTACTAAGCCTTCCTAAAATTCAGTTTATCCAATTATAAAATTGGGTATAATAGTATCTATTTCATAATATGTATATTATGAGGATTAAATGAGTTAATTCCTGTAATTAGCAACTGGCATGTAGCAAGCTCTCATTAAATATTAACTGTTGTTACTACTTGTTATTAATGAAATCTGTGAAATATGAGGTCACTAGGGTGTGGCTTCTCCCATTGTGAATGTGCTCTTCTACACACACATATAGTGAATAGAAAATGGCTGTGGAACCTGTAGATACAGAGGCATTTTAGGCCTCCTAGACTTTGGTTTGAGGGTTGATGGGAAAATATTCCCCTATTACATGAAACTTGGGGTAGTTGTGGTAGAAACCATCAGTTGTTGCCTCCATCAGATTTTTAAAAATCTCTTGTTATGTATTTTTAAAGATTTTTGATATCATTAATGTACAATTACTTGAAGAACATTATGGTTCCTAGACTCCCACCATTATTAAGTCCCCACCACATACCCCATTACAGTCACTGTCCATCAGTGTAGTAAGATGCTATAGAATCACTGCTTGTCTTCTGTGTATATACTGCCTTTCCCATGCCCACCCCCACATTATGTGTGCTAATAGTAATGCCCCATTTTCCCCCTTATTCCTCCCTTCCCACGCACCCTCCCCAGTCCATTTCCATTTGGTGACTGTTAGTCCATAATCCATTCTTGGGTTCTGTGAGTCTGCTGCTGTTTTGTTCCTTCAGTTTTTGCTTTGTTGTTATACTCCACAGATAAGTGAAATCATTTGGTACTTGTCTTTCTCTGCCTCGCTTTTTTCACTGAGCATAATACCCTCTAGCTCCATCCATGTTGTTGCAAATGGTAGGATTTGTTTTCTTCTTATGGCTGAATAATACTCCATTGTGTATATGTACCACATCTTCTTTATCCATTCATCTACTGATGGACACTTAGGTTGCTTCCATTTCTTGGCTATTGCAAATAGTGCAGTGATAAACATAGTGGTGCATATGTCTTTTTCAAACTGGGGTCCTGTATTCTTAGGGTAAATTCCCAGGAGTGGAATTCCTGGGTCAAATGGTATTTCTATTTTGAGTTTTTTGAGGAACCTCCGTACTGCTTTCCACAATGGTTGAACTAGTTTACGTTCCCACCAGCAATATAGGGGGGTTCTCCTTTCTCCACATCCTTGCCAACATTTGTTTTTGTTTGTCTTTTGGATGTTCGCCATCCTAACTGGTGTGAGGTGATATCTCATTGTGGTTTTAATTTGCATTTCTCTGATAATTAGCAATGTGGAGCATCTTTTCATGTGCCTGTTGGCCATCTGAATTTCTTCTTTGGAGAAATGTCTGTTCAGCTCCTCTGCCCATTTTTTAATTGGCTTATTTGCTTTTTGTTTGTTGCAGTGCGTGAGCTCTATATAATTTGGATATCAACCCCTTATTAGATATGTCATTTATGAATATATTCTCCCATACTGTAGGATGTCTTTTTATTCTACTGATGGTATCCTTTACTGTACAGAAGCTTTCTAGTTTGATATAGTCCCACTTGTTCATTTTTGCTTTTGTTTCCCTTGCCTGGGGAGATATGTTCATGAATTTTTGCCTATGTTTTTTTCTAAGAGTTTTATGGTTTTATGACTTACATTCAGGTCTTTGATCCATTTTGAGTTTACTTTTGTGTATGGGGTTAGACAATAATCCAGCTTCATTCTCTTACATGTAGCTGTCCAGTTTTGCCAACACCAGCTGTTGAAGATTTCCCCATTGTATGTCCATGGCTCCTTTATCA